GTAATTTATTATCCACTTTAGTGTGGATTCAAACTATCTCCAACTTAGCGGGAATTTAGGTATACTACATTGATTGCGCAGTTTCTGGAAGGTTACCTTGACCTTCACAATGGTAATACAGACAAAGGCATAGCAGACAAAGGCGATGGTAATCATAGAATAGAAAAATATATATTTAAATGATTTATTTTATATTGAAATAAAGATTTTAAAATTAGACAAAAACTACATAAAAATATGTTTTAAATCAGTTTATTGATTAAATTCGTTGTTTGCTAATTAATACATATAATTCCCAATCACTTTAATAAAGAAATATTCAACCCAATGAATCTCATTCTATTCTAGTAAAAACGGTTCGAAATTTGAGAAGTACCGTATTTTGTGGAGTAAAATACCCCTTAGGATAATAGTAATGTAAAAGGTCCAGGCACTATGCACGGTTTATAATATGATCGATTATATAGTACCTCTGTAGTATTGTACACACTTCTATTACAGTACCCCCTTAATATAGTACCCGGGTATAATTAAATATTTTCTTATGCCCCCGGGTATTTTACTCCACACAAAATATGATATAATCCCTTTTTGATAAAGGTATATTCAATCATAGCTTCGTGTTTTAAAATGCTTAGCTTGATGAAATGCATTTTGTTCTAGTAAAGCCATTTCACAAATTTGTCTAAAATTGACAGTTAATGTTTTGAAACCATTTCTCTTCAGAATTAAAAAAATAACTTAGCCTAAAACATTGAATTGTTATATCGTTGTCTGTCGCATAAATTGAATATTAATCAGTAAAAAATATATAAACATGAAATAATAGAGCTTTCACAACCAATGCATCACATACTCATTACTAACAAATGTCTCATTTCATCCCAGTTATTGCAAGCACTTCAGACTTTCAACATACAATACAAGGTAGCAGCTGAGATTGTTACTCAAATACTCATAAAAACATCTACAGAAGTCTACGAACAAATCTGGAAACCATATTGCGAAAGGTTCGCAGCATGGAAAAAGCAACAGGGTATACAGAATCGGCATACAGCAAATACAACACAAATATCTACTCGCAGACACACTAAAAATCAAAGAAGAAAGCTTACCTATACATGCCACTGTGGTCTTGCAGACCAACTGCATGATGACGACAGAAGGTGCCCTCCTAAAGGACAAGCATTACAAAAATTCCATCTTTGGTCTATACTATGGATCCAACACAGTATGTCCTACAACCATATATTAACTATTAAAACCTAGGTGAGTCTTGACCACTCTAGTAGGTTTAGGTCACAGATAATTAGTTTAGCCAAAATTCTTTGCCTCGGTAAAGTATTTAGTTGAGCTTTTAGTCTGAGCTCTCATTCTTGCATGTAATTTATATTTATTTGTTTGTATACGAATTAAGTTTTATATAGTTTCTATGTAACTACTTGTATAAATTACCCAATAAAAGATATAAGCAAGGCCTCACCTTAAAAATATATATATATATATATATATATATATTCTAGTTAATGTAGTATCTAAAATAAAATTTTTATTTAATAAATTTGTTTTTTATCACACAATTTTTTTTATTAACTATAATCATTATTTCACAATTATTGTAATAAACGAATTCTCATATTCATGTGTTACAGAATAATTGACATAGTACGTATATATGTGTGATATATGTAATTTATGACTTTATGCACATTCAGGTAATTTTTTGTATTGACCATAATTATTATTTCACAATCATTATAATAAACGAAGTCTCACATTCACGTGTTACAGAATAATTGATATAGTATGTATGTGCGTGCGATATATGTAATTTATGACTTCATACACATTCACGTGCGGTTAGTTAATTTCTTTCTCTCTTCCTGCATATGTCATTTTTATGCAGAGTTAGCCAATCATTTTGGTTAAAGGTTAGATATTCATAGACGGTGATAATTTTATTATATTTGGATATAGTATAAATTAAATTTAAAATTTATATTTGGTCCTTTAGACTTTAAATGGTTTTCATTTACCTAGTATTATATTATAATAAACGGTTTTACTAAATTATACCACTGATGCTCAACACTATATTAATTTTCATCAATCAAATTTTTTAAATGCAGTATAATATAAAGATCAGATATAATATAAATTTTTGTTGGTTTGGTTTTTTTTTAAAAAAATATCTTCTAACTCAAAATTTTATTTATGAAACCACTTTTTTTTATTAAAAAAAAACTTTTTGTAAAATTTTACTATATACTATATCTTACTCTAACCTCTAACTATTAACTCTAGCTTAATATTTATCAAATTTAATTTTTGTTTATTTTTTTGTTTACTTTTTAATTGATTTTTACATTATATGGTATTACTAGTGTTAAGCACCAGTAGTATAATTTAATATTACCAATAATAAATATATAAAAAATAAAAAAATAAAATATAAATAAAAAAATAGTATTAAAAAATAAAAATATATATATAAATATAAATAAAAAAAATTAAAGTATATAAAAATAAAAGAAAATAATATATATATATATAAATTAAAATCAAAATCCAAATTAAAAAATTTTATTCTTAATGATTAGCATTTTTAGTAGGTGGTGGAAGTGCAGATTAATTAAAGATGTAGATGATATAGGCAGAATTATTTAAGTAAATTTAGATAGTTGAAATTTGGCATAATTTGATTTAGAGATATTATAAAGAGAGGTGAGTAGATGAAACAGGAATAGATATATATTTTGTTTTTTTACTCTTTCTATTAGATTAAGTGGTGAAAAACTCTAACAATCTATATAAGGTCATATTTGAAAAATTGCTAATATAGGTCTTTTTTTAAAAAAAAGTTATATTTAAAAAGTAGATATTGGATAAAAGGGTCTGTATTACTTCATATTACTTCATAGAAGTTTATTTCACAGACACCTTGTTTCACAGACAATTACTTTATAGACAAGTTTATTTTGAAGACAATTAATTTACAGACAGTTCATTTTATAAGCAGTTTATTTTATAGATATTTTATTTTGTAGACAATTTTAATAGCAAATAACTTCTAAATTAGTGTTAAAAATTGTTTACAAAATAAAATATCTATGAAATAAACTGTCTATAAAATGAACTGTCTGTAAATTAATTGTCTTTAAAATAAACTTGTTTATAAATTAATTGTTTGTGAAACAAGATGTCAAGATGTCTGTGAAATAAATTTCTATGAAGTGATATGAACCTGGGTAAAAAGGTTATATTTGAAAACAGATAATCACTAAATAGAATATATTTAAAATTATACTAATAAAATAAGTATTATAAATTTTATATTTAAATATGCTATAGTCAATATTTAGTTACAAACTCTATATAATCATACTAAAATATAATACTAGTTTTTTTATATTAAAAATATCTTTGTATAATTACAATTAAATTATAATCACTATCACATTTTTTTAGAATTTGTTGAATGATTTTGATAATAAAATCACTTCTTTATAATTACATTTATATATAATCATAGATAGTTGCTATATATAAAAGTCAAAATTTACTAAGTAAATTGACTTTTATGTAATATGTAAAGTTGTTTGGAAGAACAAATTACACTTACCTTAAAATTTTCATACAAATTGAATAATTAAATAAAATTTTTAATTTTTTTATAAAATTGTAAAATGAAAAAATATCTTAATAATAAGTTATCTTTTTTTTAAATTTGGCAATCCTGCCTTTATTGTATTAGGAGTACGTAATTTAAATACATAGTTTCTAAACAACAAGCCTGCAATAAACTCAATATCTTCCACCCTTCTACTCTTCAATAAAGACTCACTTGGCTGCTTATAATAGTGCACAAGTACAATCTGCCACAGCAATAATTCACTTCTCTCTGGCATCTAACTTACTAGATAACTCCTCTGAAAAAATCACTAAAAGCTTATTGCTAGCTTTGTCAAGATTGCTTTTTTCTTAACATTTTTCCTTCTTCAAAGGGATATACAACAAATAGGGATAATAAAACAAAAAAAATACAAATAAAATAAAAATGACAAAAACAAAAGGAAAAAAGAAAAAACAAAGAAAATATAGAGAAAGAAAACAAATACAAAAAGGAATATAAAAGAAAAAATTACAAAGAAAACAAACCAAAAAGAATAGCAGAAAATTGTCTTTTTAGCACTACTATTACCCATGCTAGACTGAAAAAAATTATATAACAAATACAATATTTGTATATTTCTAGTGTAAAGCTTCGCCTTATCAAATAAATTTTCTGACTAAATTATTTAGACTCCTAAACGATGTAAGTAGCCAATCTTGGTATAATGTGAAGCAGCACAGTTCATAAACAAAACAAACCAGACACATGATTGCAGTCTGCCGGAACTGTCCAGATTTGGAAGATGTAAACATCGCTGATCTTTTAAAGGAGATAAGCTGTTTTGTCCACTTTTGTGAGAAATTTTAAAAGAGCAACGAGGAGGCGAAAAAAAAGACAAAACTATTTTGTTTTCTTTAATAAAAGAGTGTATTTTTTCTTTACTCAACATACTGAATCCATAGAAAGACACTAGTACTCTCCTTATTTTTTTAGGTAAGTAATAAACTCTGGGCTTGTTGGCAAATAGCGTATGAGAACTATTTCTAAACGACAAGTGCTCGGCCCCACAGTGAGTGATAAACTCTAAGGAAGTTAGCAAATAGCATATAAGAACTATCTTTAAATAACAACTGCCAAGTTACAGAGCTTAAGGATTACTTCCCAGACTGTTTTTATCTTTACAAATACTTAAATTTTGGATTTTTGTGAAAAAAAAAGTGATCATTAGAAAGAGTTGAATAATAAGTTATCTAATTTGTATAAAAATTTTATTATAAATATATTTTGTTCTTCTGAACAACTTTACTTATTATATAAAGTCAATTATCTTAGTAAAATTTTGACTTTTATATGTAGTAACTATCTATAATCATATATAAAAATTTTTATTTTACTTTTTTATAATTGTCTGGAACAAAGTGACAGACCTTTAATTTCTATATATAGTAATACAAAAGTTACTTTCTTGATGCATTAAATCTTAAAATATCAAAAAAGTAACTTTGTATTTTCTGTCTGTTCGCTATAATACAAAAGTTACTTTCTTGATGCATCAAATATTATTGCCTTT